GTGTTTATGAGTTATAAAATGTGCTGAATGAGTGTATTGCAAATGAAGTTTGGGTGATTCTCTGGAGTTTCTGCGGAATGTGGTGTGTATAGGATGAATAATTTTCACCGCCGAGCCATGGAAGTCACAGCGTGGCGTCGCGGAATATCGTAGAGAGCCGGACCGTGTGTCCCGGGAGCGCTTACGTAACTTCAGAGGCGTAGAGTGTGGCTGTGTTTTGTGTTTCGTTGAGTCAACATTCCGTTTTCGTTATCGTAGGGCAGCGACGACGGCCTCAACAGCCATGTCCGCCTTTGCTCGATTTTTACATCCAACTCCTACAGCCAGGAGAGCCTACTCCTCTTTCTTCTCTTCTAAACCCGGTGGGGGTGGCCGCTACTTTAATTCTGCCAAACCACCAAAGGTTATTCCAGGTGGCGCTGCAAAGAATGCCACGAATAAAGTCGAGACGTCGACAGAATCCTCAGCGGGAGGGGTACAGGCGTCAGCAGGTGGTGGGGGGGCCGGTGCTGCGAACGGGGGCAGCAAACCAAACGGTTTGATGAATGCAAATGGAGACCAAGGCGCTCCAGCGTCCAAGGCCTCATCTGCCTCCTCGTCATCATCTTCGTCTTCAACGACGAAGGCACCAGGCCCAGAGACTGACGCCAACCCTTTGACAACAGGACGGTCCGGACACACCCACATGCACCGCCAACACCCCGTCGTCACACCAAAGGACTTCAAGCTCCATCAATTTTTCTCGTTACACCGGCCGCTCCTACTGCTCGCCCAGCCGTCGTCTATCCTCAGCTCCGCTGCACCGGACGTTGACCCAACTTCGGTTAAGCCTATTTCGAGTGCCACCAGCATGACGAACCACCCGTGGCTGTTGGATGAATTTGCCGAGGCCTCCATGGATGCGGATGCGGCCGCTGCTCGTCAGCTCACGCGTGCGCTGACTATCAACCATGCAGGTGCTACCGCCGCTTGGGAAAACACACTGCGTCAGTTAGGGCTTGATGTGACCAAAGATGCCGACCGGGTGGGGCTGCAACAGCAATGGGACAGGGAGTGGCAGGAGGTTTTGATGGACAGCACGAAGAGGAAGCGAAGAAAGAAGATGAAGAAACACAAGTTAGTAGCTCTCACCTCTTCTCAGTGATTGCGTGTACTGATGTACATCACCCCCCCTTAGACTTAAAAAACGGAGAAAGGTAATAACCTATGCCTACATAATATATCGCTGACCACTGACGCCGAACTTCCACCCCTTTAGGCAACGCGTGCGTCTCGAGTGAAGATCGGACGATAGGACCCTTATTACTTTTATCGTTGGACACTCGACATCATCAGAACAGCGCAGTTAATTCAAGCAATCACCTCGCATTTCACCCCTTCCAATTCTTGTCACATACATTAGAACATTGACCATACTAAGTTCATCTGAGTCTGGGAGCTGACGCCCTGAAATTCTTAAATTCGCTGTACGTGTTCCAACCTTCAGAGAAAGATTTATAGCTCTCCCCAAGCTTAAATGGCTATAATCGATGAGTGATGATGGCAAACCAAACCATAGTCATTGCGAAAATGATAAGCTAGAGGATTACATATGACTATAAGAGCTAGTAAATGTCCAGGTGGTCCTGCGAATGATAAAACGGCGTATAAAAATATGAGCGTCATGCACGATCCGCCTTAAGTGACTGTAACAATCTCTCCCCTCCCATCCTTCAGTATGACCAGTTCACATTCAACTTTCTCCCCTGTATCTAAACATACAACATCCGTCGGATCCGTAGTACTCGTTCGTATTTGTCGCTTCTCGAAGAACGAACGGCCCAACACAACATCAAAATGAGGCTCTTCTGATAAATACACACCAATCATTGTCGGTTTCTGTCCAATGTCCTCGTCAAAGCGTTTTGCACCACCATTTGGGCGCGAATTAGGCGGAGGCGCATCAGGGTGGGAGTCAAACGAGGAAGAAGGTGTGAGGGTAATAGGCCATATCCCAATATTCACAAGACCTCCGTAACCATAATGGCCTGGGGCAGCATCCTTGGGGATAAACCCATGCTTGATGGCAAACTTTCGGGAAATATACACATGCCGGTATCCGGACTTGAGCAACATTCTGACTGAGAGGACAGAACATATGTAAACCAAAGCCAAGCTCCTCAGGAGGTACTTACCATTCTGTACTGGTCCGATGCTGCCCATCACAGTCCTGACCCCATTCTCACCATGGAACCTCTCAAACTCTTTCTTATGCACAGGGATACCATCGTTGCCCTCGTGATGTACGGCAGGCGTTCGCTTACTAACCTTAGACTTCTTGGAACGATTCGAAGGAGACGGGGAATGTGAGTCTAGGCGAGGATGATGTGCCCGAGATGGTTGAAACAGGTAAAACGATGCATTAAGATATGTAGGTGGGGTAGGAAGGGGTTGGGAGGGATCATGCAAATGGAGGGTAGGCGTTGTAGCGGGAGCAGAAAAATGGGTGGAGTCGCTGCTGGCTGATAAGGCTGGTGTCGGCAGTTGTTGCTGGCGCCAGACAAAAATCGTATAGTCGGAATCTAAGCATCGTGATAAGATATCTGGTACATCTTTATACCTTTGATTATTTATTACCGTCATCTAGATTCCATATTGATTCATTAAATTCGTACTTGAGCCAGCCGGGCCCAACGCGAGCACCGCGGTAAGATGTGTGTGATTTCCGGCTCAAGGTGTCATAGAGGGACTCCAAAGAGTCTTGGGTTACTTGGCAGGAAACACGGCGATTAGTGGTGAAGTTCAAGCGCCTAAGACCCTTAAACTTACGAGAATGTACGATCGCAAACGACGATGTCGGCGTGTGAATATTGAGAATGGACGGTGCAGCCATTCACGGCCAATCTACAGTACTCGTCGAGCAGGTAGGCTACTTGAGAGCGCTAGGGATGATGGTGGTTACTGAAAGAGTGGTAGCCGCGAGGCCACGAGTGAGAGACATGTCATTTGGCTATTTTGAAACATGAATGTAACAATTGTGTCTTCTCTACAGAATTCATCAAAATCACTCATCACATTTAGAAACCATTCGTTCATACTTGGTTTATGTATAGCAAATTCTCAAAACGTGGACTCGGTCATTGTAGCTGTTCATGTAAATAGCAAAGTCATATCTATACGGCACACGACATGCATTCATCTAACTTTCTATCACACTTCATTTGATACCGGCTTCGAAGCATGTCACACTACCAGCACAGCACCATTGCGGCTTGCGACATCTAAGCTAAAAACAGACCTTTAGAAGCTAAACAGAAAGTACCAGGCCTGAATCTGAGCGCTGAGGAGCGTCGATGAGATTGTGGGTTAGGAGCTTGAAAATCTTCATCGTCTTACCTTGGCCAAAGGCGAGGTGGTACGTGTCATTATGTCGCCGCTTGTCAATATGAAAATGGGTACGGTCAAACTCACTGTTCTGATAGTACTCCGAGTCAATGTTGTACAGCTTACATTTCACCAATGGGTGTCGGCTATAGATATATAGAGAGTGCATTCCAAAGCATGACCCTTCCTAAACCCAATTACACTGTCCTCATTGTGGGACATTCTCGCGAGCCTGCTGTCGGATTCTCCTCCTGAAATTCGTTGGGCATACAATCAAAACCAAACCCGTGAAAACTTACTCATAAGCAACCTTGTCATTTCTAAACTAAATTAGAATCCTTTTGGACTACCGAGAATTTATATCAAACGCTCACTTGAACATTGTATATGCGTCACTTTGGGCAGGGTCGTTTACATTAGGGTCGTCCAGTAGGTCCTGGATACCAAGAAGGATCTAACATATATTAAATGAACTTCACAGTTGGAGAGATCAAGGAAGGGACTAACTTGTTTGATAGTAATGGCTGGCTTCCATGATTTTTCCTCATCGAGGATAGAGAGACACACGGTGCCCGAAGGATATACATTTGGGTGGAACAAGGGTGGAGAAAATTTACCTATAGAGAAAGCTCTAGATTAGGATGGATAAGAAGAAAGCATATTTACACTTTGGAGGCTTTGATGGGTAATCTGAAAACAAGACGACGAGCGTTCGTGAGGTCACAGGGACAGCACCAGAATGATTAAAACTCACCTTCAGGAAAGTTCATGACTAACTTGAAGAGTCCTCCTTCCCATGGGGTCTAAGCACATCCGTTAGTATTCTAAAACCACGACAATGCCAAACCGATGCACACGATCGATATATCGGCATGTAATACTAAGCGTTGCTGGAATGTACTTACCTCTTTTTTTCCAGGAATGCCGACCTCCCATTCCATCAAGTTCATTGACCCGTCCGCCGCTTTCGCGGGTTTGGCATAAAATCCCTACAACAGGCGGCATTAATTCCCGTATACAGGCCTTTTGATATTCTCCCAGAACGCGTTCGCATGAGAGGTGTGTTGGTGAGATAGAAGGGATATAGAGGCGCGTTTCAACCAGAACACGCGACGCGAACCACCCCCAGCCGAGTCCCGTTTTCAGACTAAACTGTAAGGATTGAACTCACAAATGGATGGTCTTTCCTCCACTGTTTTCGCTCTTCCGTAAGGCGGGGTCGACAGATTCCTGACATCCTGAGTTCACCAGAGCGATGGAAACAAATATGCTACAAAGAGAAAGGGAACGAGTTCAGTGGCACGAGCTTTTGACGCCGCAAGCGGGTCTTCAACAAGGAAGGCACAAGCTGCTGACTCAGTAACCTCCGATTATAGCAACGCAAAACAACCGCTTTGCAAATTTTATAAATACTTGTAGCACAGCCACTACTCATCTTTTGCAAAATCACCGGAACTCTATGTATTTATTGAAAACTCGATCTTGTCAGCGGTAAGAAAATAGATATAACAATAATGTTGACCCTGCCATTAGATTATGCTTTATGGAAATTCTCACATCGTCAACGTCCAGTTCTTGCCTACGCTGGAAAAAAGTCATTATTCAAGAACGGGCTGCTCAAGCTCAAAAAAAGGAAATGACCGAGGTAGGGGTCGAACCTACAATCTCCTGATGGCTCTGGGCTTGTTACTGAAAAGGCGTGCCCATCGTAGTCAGACGCGATGCCATTTCGCCACACGGCCAATAATTTAGTTAGCTTCAAGGCCATTGGGAGCCTAATTTGAATGCAACGGTCACAATACTACATGAGTAAGTCTTTTTAATTGGCTCCCTAATTTGAGCGTGAACCCTCTTTAGCCTATTGTGTTAACGAGATCTACATTGATATACTTCATCTGCCTAACCGCGGATGTATTTCCTGTCCTTATCCTCAAACGACCAATATATATAAAGTGCTCTGACTTTCTGTACTATTTACCTTGTACTGCTGTTGAAACATGTGCTCGAAAACAGAGTCTGCATGTAGCCCTAGAATCATTACCAAAACAATGACCTACATAGATAGTGTTGTATGAGCCGTAGAATGAGCAGATCTGAAAGGTAACTGCCAATTCTCGTCATACACATTGGGCTCTCTCAGTTTACTCTGGGGTATACATAAAGCAATCAGTTTGTCAAAAGAATTGTGAGCAAGGTTGGGTTATGCATAATATTGGGTAATGTACATAGTTGGGGGTTGATAGTTTTACATTGTACAGCTTCAGTGTCTTTATTTAGTTATGTTGATTCTGATAGCACATCTTCGCCTCTGCTGGCTTGAGGGTTGATTAATTCCTGCCAATGCCCATAGCTGGGCCGCGTGTTTCCTCTTCCCCCTCTTCCTCTTCCTCTTTATTCTTCTCCACAATCCATTCCCGGATAAAAGTACTGCTCATTTTAGTTTGGCGGAGCATTTCGAGATCCTCATGATCAATACGCTCGTTACTTGGACTGATGACGTCGATGATGAAAGTTTTAAGTGGAGGTAGGCCTTTGGCCTCACGATGAGTAGCAACTATGGAGATTATTTCAGTGTGCAATGATCTAATGACAATTTGAGAGTACTCACTCGACTCAGCCCCGCCGATCGTTTCCCGACTGACCACCAACGCTTGAACATCAGGGTCCCAGCCTGTAGGTCCATAAACGTCGGTGATGGGCACGATATCGTATATAAGGCCTGGGCAGAAGAGCTGGAGAAAGTCACGGACGCGTTGGGTACGGACAGGTAAACGTTCCAGGATGTGTTGATTCGACTTCTTCAAGAGAAGTACATCATCTACAGGGAAGTGAACAAAGATAGAATAAGTGAGGCATTTCATGTCACTCACCAGTGACTCCAACAATAATTTTTTGGCTCGCAATCCATGCTGCCATACTTAGGAGTATTTTGTGGCCTGCATGAAGGTGATCGAACGTCCCACCGAGCGCAACGACAGGGAAGAACGGTGGAGGCGGAAGACTTCCCTGATCCTGCGGCTCTGGGCTACTCAAACGCGGCTCAGAGCTGTGGTCACCATCGCGATCTCCGGGGAGAAGAAAAGACTGTCGGACAGAGGTTACCGAGGCGGGAAGGGGGACGGCGATTGAGTCTGAGCTCAGATCTTAGCGTACCTCTATCATAGAAAGTAGAGATACGCACCACCTGCTACACGAAAGACAATGTCCATCCCAACACCTATGTCTTCTGGTGCTTCGCCGTCGATACCAAGGAGGAGGACATCGACATCCATGAGAACCTTGTCAAGATCTTGGGCAACCTTGGTGGCCTGTACATAAACATACGTGAGCAGCCTGTGTACATCATCCCAGCGTCCAGTGTGTGAAATCCCGCGAAAAGCTGTCGTTGATGAAGGAAGTGGATCGTTGAAGAGTCTCGAGAAGAGAACGATCACGAGCCTTTGGCGCGTACTCGTCGCCGCAGCTTGAATGACAGGACTTAGGAAATGGGGGGTGTCGAGAGATGGGAGGGTAGCTAACAACAGCGCTCTATCAGCAAGTTCAGATGCAGGGAATTGGTGCGACATGGCTGCGGGGAGGAGACCTGCGACATGGCGGTTTGACGTTTTCCGGCGGGAACTTAAATTTGGCGGTAAGATGCAGAGCTCATGTGCTTGGCTCTTAGTATGTATGCGGTTTTCCTGGGCATTTCATTTGCTGGGCCTACGTACACGAATATTAACGTTGGGTCCCAGGTCAGTTTCTCATCCAAATCGATGTCCGCCATCGCCGAGCCTTAGCTAACGTACTAAAGCTAAACTTCATATTTATACGGCCAAAATATTGCTCGGTCTTATTATCAAGTGTTCAAGTCCTACGGTTGCTCTGCGAGTTCCAAGGGGATACGGCATACATCGATGATGAACCGCATGGCTGGTGACTCAACTTGAAATAACGGTTTATTATTGTGGTTGTCCTTACGGCAAGGTTTATAAGGATTGAGAAAACCTCTGGCTACTTACAAGAAGACTATCATTTTTAGATATGGTACGGCACTAGAGTAAGATCTATTAGTGATTTTACTGATCGGACATTTCTTGCCAATGGTGGAAGATGTCATTACATCTTCCCTGTCAATACTTCGCCGGAGAGCGGGTGCCAATGACATCTTACCGCGTGGTTGGCGCTGAACAGTCCGCAGTAACTGTGACGGTAACTGTAGCAGGGCTAGGAGCTTCAACTAAAGGAGCAGGCTCAGCCGAATTTCCGACAAACCAGGTCTGTTCGAGTGTGAAGAAGGGTGGGGCGCAAGGCGAATTGCTGACGAAACCATCGGCATTCAGTGTTAAGCACTGGTTCCCAGGTCCGAATCCATTATTAACCGAGTTTTGGACAATAGGGAATCCAATTCCACCCGAAAGACTCGCTTTAGAATCGAAGAAGAATTGTTGATCTGATGTGGTCTCGCCATCGCCCGCAGCACGGCCACCTGTCGAATAAACTGAAACGTCGTAGTTAACTGAAAAAACTCTGAACTTACCACAAGCAAACAGACCAGGGCGATTTCTGTCATTCTTATTTCCTCTCCTATCGATACAGGTAAACTGCTGACTGGAGACAATCAATGTCCTGCTTCCATCTTGAACATTGTTATGCTCTCCCTTGAATATAAACAAGTCAAGAAATGTTTTGAAATGTGGATTATGAATATACCTTGGTGATCAAGTCAAACTTTTGCCCATCAATGGAAGAATCACACTTTTTAAGAGCTAAAGGTACAAGATTGAACCTAAAGTCACCAGAACGGAAATCTGATACGTCGAAGCAAGTATCCGGGGATGCCGCATTCCGAATCTGGCTCCCTGTAGCAACTCTTACAGCAGTGGCATCGAAGACCGGACCTAGGTGATTGGATTAACCATTGAGGAAGATAAATCGAGGAGCCAACACACCAGGGCCCTCAGCAGGGACGGGTAAAGTAAAAGGTTCAGGCCCGGTTGCAGAAGGTGACGTGGGTGCTGGTGCAGGTACAGATATAGGAGGGGCGGGGACGGAAGCTGGAGATGGCGCGGGGATTGGGGATGTAGGCACTGGCGCTCCGGACCCGTTGCCAGCATACCAAGTTTGTTCGGGAGTGAAGAGAGGGGGAGAACAAGGTGTATTACTGACAAATCCGTCTGCATTTAATGTTAGGCATAGATTCCCCGGTCCAACTCCATTGTTGACGGAATTTTGGACGATTGGAAAACCGATCCCGCCCGAAAGGCTGGCATTGGAGTCGAAAAAGAATTGCTGGTCGGCTGTAGTCTCACCATCGCCGACGGCACGCCCTCCTAGAATAGTCGTGTTAATATTTGCGCTGAGTTAGAGAGCGATCATTTGGTTGTTCAACTCACCGCATGCAAAAAGACCGGGACGATTTCGATCGTTCTTGTTGCCACGCCTATCTACACAAGTAAATTGTTGACTGGAGACAATCAGTGTCCGACTTCCATCTTGTACATTGTTATGTGCTCCCTGAAACTCAAATCAGTAACATGTCACAAGGACCTCGTAAGGTAAACTACCTTTGTAATCAAATCAAACTTTTGACCATCTACGGAAGAGTCACATTTCTTGAGAGCCAACGGAACAAGATTAAATCGGAAATCGCCAGCACGAAAATCAGAAACATCGAAGCAAATATCAGGGGAGGCGGAATTCCAGATTTGGCTTCCAGTTGCAGCCCTCACAGCAGTCGAGTCGAAAAGTGGACCTTAAACATTGATTCAGTACCTTAGAGATTCAAGGATATCTAAACACACGTACCAGGCCCCTCTGCGGGAACAGGAAGGACAAATGGCTCAACTGTTTGACGGCTTTGAAATCGTTGGACAGGCAAAGGGGCTCCCATTGCACAGAGAGATAGCGATAACAGAATAATAGGAAAAGACAACATATTTTCGGCGCTACTTGGCGTAATTAGAACAAGTGATATCTGTTCTATGTTTCAAGCCCATCAGTTACGAAGCCAGAATAACACAAAATACTTGATAAATAAACTTACCGTCAGTGGGAATTTAAAATGAATGTGAGGCCTCTTCAAGAGGGAAAAAGAGTGAGGAAGCTAATCGCACGCGACCAGGTGAGCAGAGGGAAACGGTGGGAGAATGAGAAGAGCAGGAAATGAAAATGCGAAAATTGAGCGCAAAAGAACAATGGTCTTCATCCGAGCTCTTGCTTACGTCACGACAATAATGAGTTTCTGGCAGTTGACCTTAGCTGGAGATACATTCCCGATCCCTGGCAATGAGAGCTGGGCTCTGGGAGATTATGGTTTTGAAATAGGATTTTTTGAGAACAACGACAAGGTGCTGGGCGGAGCTCCCAGAATAGTAAAACCAAATCAGTTCTCTAAAAAAAGGTTAGTACGCGTCACCTGATGTTGGCTCCCGAGTCAGGTGATGGCGTATTCGCCTCGTGCGAAGAGCCATCCATTCTCCTTCAACTGGAGCCAAGTATGCCATCGAGTCAGGAAATGCAGGAAAAGGGAGATACATCTCCAGTAGGACTTCCAAACTTCAAGCAAACGCAGAGTCTCTCGTCTTCTCCCGCCTTCAACAAGTTTATCTTATATGAGAATCGCCTCCGTTTTTACATCATCGCTTCCAATGCTGCAGACTCACGACATCGTATAATAAAAGTCGACCGCACCGTTCAGGACGAGCTCACTATAGTTGAGGACGAAGCTGAATATAGCGGGAAGCAGATGAGTGCAATGTTG